TGGCACAAAATATGTTGTCAAAGCAACTAATCAAGCTGGTAAGATGGGGAGATACTTTTACCTCACTTTTCGGTCCGGTTTTAGCTCTCAACACGGCAATGTTTTCCATGATGTGGTACATTGCGTCAGTGTGGACAATTCCGGACGATTCACTTGAGGAACTAAATCGGGTGGCAAGAACATACCTCTGGACGGGCAATCCGAAAAAGGAAAGTTGTATCCCTAAAATAGCATGGCAGTACATCTCACGAAAGCCCATACAAGGGGGTTTAGGCATCATTGACCCGAAGTGTGGTACGAGAGCCCTTCAACTCAAATGGATAGTCCGACTGTTGATGAAGCCAGGTACGACGTGGAACAAGCTGGCTCTGGACAACATTAGGGAACTAGCCCCGGTACCATCGCCCAACAACATGATGGGATTATTCTGGGTAATAAACAAGGAATGGTATTTGAAGAACGTGAGAAGAAGATCCAGGCGAGAAATAGAACAGAACGTAGAAAACCGACAAACTCTGCACTGGATGGCTATCATCCGGATTTGGAGGGAAATAATGTCGAAAAAGACCAACAGACCGAAATCTAAAGACGAGGTACTAAGACAGCCTCTTTTTGGCAATGAATGGCTGAGATCCGAAAGTGATGAACCCTTGTTCTTAGACCACAAATGGCTGTCGTGGGTAAAGAATGGCGTCTGGACGATCAACCACTATGGAACGAAGAAAAGAGGGAATGGGTATCGGAACAGGACTTGAGTGTATGTCTGAAGGGATGCCACAGAAGAGGCCTGAACCTGCAATACCTCACTAATCTGATCCTTCAAGAATGGAAAGACATACTGGCACAAGAAGGGGACTGGAGAAGTGGAGACTGGGGGGTCAAGGTGCAGGAAAACCCTCCATCAAGAGCCTTTCAGTTCTCACATTCACAACAAGGTGCTACTACACAAGCAGTATTCACCTCTTTTCCAGTTGTACACTCCAGAGACAGAATGCCGTCGATCATAAACACCAACGTCGAAACTGTAGTCATGGACTGCTTTCTGCTCAGGAAAGTAAGAGTTTTAGAAATGTGGCCGAAAAGCATCTACAGATTCGACACGGCACTGAACTTGGAGTTTGACCCAGGGGAGTGGGCATGGAAACCAGATAAGAAGGCAAATATTAACAAACGCACCCCCATACAGGACTAAACGGTCAAATTAGGTTATAAACTAATGTTGAAAACAAAAGACCCAGATCCGGTTATCAAAGCCAGGTGGCAAAGACTGTTAGGACAGGAAGCCGACAGTATCACGCAAATTCCGTGGAAAATCTACAAAGCAACCAGACCTGTCAAAATCAGAAGCCTCCAGTGGCTAATAACATATGCAGCTTTGCCAGTTAATCAATGGTTGCATGTTAGGCGGAAAGGTTCAAACCCAGACAGCTCTGATCTATGTAAGGTTTGTACAGAGAATGTAGCAGAAGACATAATACACTGCTTAGTGCACTGTAGGGAGGCGACGGACTATTGGGCAAGAGCCTCAATCCTCTGGAACTCCCTGTTCCCTTCCCCTTTCCCTGGAAAACCCATCTAAATCCTTCTTCTTATTAACATCCCCCAACAACCCCGGAAAGCGGAAAAAGTCTGGTACGGGCTGATCAGGAAGGAGAGATGCAGCAGAACGATCGAAGAAATATCCAACTCACGCGAATTGGTCTGGGCGGAGATGAAGACAATGATTCAGGCAGAAATTCTATGCAGATGGCGGAGGATCAAACAGTCATGGTCCGAAGATGAGGAACAACGAAATAAGGCCGGGCAGAGTTTCAGTAAAGTCTGGTTGGCTGACGACAAAGTGGCTGAATTGAGGGACGACAACATTCGATGGAAGGACTGGCACAACTCAAGTGCAGGAAGAAGAGAGGGGCAGCAGAGAACAATGTAGGGACAAGGCTCCCCCTTGTCAGAATCTTAAAGAGAAAATGACCAACGAACATCATCACTTCCGTTGAAGTGCAGCCAGGGACTGTGACAGGCCTAGGAAAGGAGGTAGAAGGCAAGGAGAGATGTCAAGTATTACCACAAAGTGAGAACAGGGTTTAGGAAAAAAGAAAGGGGCCTCAACAACAGGCAACGTCGGAGGGCATAGTCACATCTTAGGCCGCAAGGGAATGAATACAACCCGCAAGAGGCCCAGGGGGTACAGATAAAGAGGGAACATGGGAGAAAGGAGAACAAGTTGGAGAAGAGGATAATGCTGGACCATGAACGGTGGTTGCAAAGAAATTTGTTTATCACAAAGGTCCGGAAGCAAATGAAGTCCTGCCAGGTTCTAAGTTTGATGATCGGAGGACAGGAACGCAGGCTGAGGGTTTATGGTTTAAGTTTTGACAGTTGATCATCCAAAGGGGCAGAGAGGTGTGTGGGGAGGAAACAGGTCGGCAAAGACAACGGCCAACGATACTTTGAGTAGGGAAGTAGTGGCTTTCGAGGCCCAGTCCATACCAGCTACTACCTTCTGGCACAAGGATCTGGATAAGGGCCAAAAATGGAAGGGTCATACCATCTCGGGCCAACTTTAGGCCAAGGATCATCTGATCCTTACTTTAGATGAGGGTGGTATGGAAGAGGTCCCATATGATCAAATAGCATGGGGCCTAGAGGAGGAGGGCAGTAGCGATAGTCAGGGGAGGACTTACGCTGCTGTCGCGGTTGGAGGGAGGCCGCAAGGGAGAGGAGGCCGGGGCCAAGGGGGCCAGGCTTCCGGTGGTCGAGGACAGAGTGATCAGGGGGTTGGCGGCAGAGGAACCCGCCAAGTGGGAGGTAGGGGTCAAGGTCCCTCGCAAAACCGCTCTCGTTTTACTCGTCACCTTCCAGGAGGGGTGGATGGCACCCTGGCTTGCCACAAGGCAAGCCCTGGGAAGATTTGGGTTGAGAACAGACAGTGTGGCAAAGGCAGATAGACCAGGATCAACGCTTCTACTGCGGTGATCCGGGGCACATCATAAAATACTGCCCCAAGTATAGAGAAGCCCGGAGCGCTGCACAGGCAGCAAAAGGCAACCGCCGGTAGGAGTTGCAACTGCTCTTACCCCTAGACCATGTGGAGAAGAGTGCACGCACCACAGAGAAACTCCCAACCCACATGTGTTTATGGCAGAGACTGCTGGCCAGTGCCCAGACGGTTGTCCAAAGACTGCTTGTGTTAGGGTCTCTCTAGGCACTTCCCTCACAGGTCTGGCAGAGGAGTTGAAGGAGAGGATGTCAGCCTGGGCCAAAATGAAGAAGGATGGTAAAGGACAACTAATTCTAGTAGATGTAGAGGTTTTAGAGGACGAGTAGGGGCCTTAATAGATAGTGGGGCCACTTGTAGCTACATGAGCAGGAAAGCGCTGCAGAAGTTAAAGCTAAATTTAAAAGTCCAAAAGCTAAAAGACCTTGTAGTCAGTATCTCGCACACAATCCCATGATGCGAGTGGAGGATTATGTCGAGGGAGTCTAGGTGTACTTTCACCTAGAGAAGGATTGAAAGGTAGATAAAGTTCTCCATTCCTTGACTCTCCTCGTAGAAGATAGCCTTCCATTCGATATGATCCTAGGAATGGACTGGGGAGACGCAACAGCAGCCACACTCCACTTGAGAGAGCACGAGTGTAGGCTCCATTGTCCATCAGGCAAAGTCATGACTGCTCGCCAGTTTCACGTGTCAGGGGTAAACAATCCCCTGGCACATTGCTGGCTCAGTACTCCCGCATTCGCGCGATTAGCGAAGAAGGAGCAATTAGAAGAATAGGTTTTTGTAGCCTATGTTAGGCCTGTCACTGAGCCTAAGCAAGAGAAACCCATTGATCCGGTTATTGCCAAGCTGTTGGAAGAGTATACAAATTTGCCTAAGTCGCCTACAGGAGTAGTGCAATGGCCGATCCAACATCATATTGAGATAGAGCCTGGCGGTAGAACTCCTAAGGAAGCTATTTACAGAATGTCTCCAAGGGAGTTAGAGGAGTTACGTAAACAGCTAGATAAGCTCCTCGAGAAGGGTTGGATTAGGCCCAGTTCGTCTCCGTTTGGAGCACCTGTTCTTTTTGTCCCCAAGAAGGAGGGAGAGCTTAGAATGTGCATAGACTATAAAGGTCTTAATGATGTCACAGTAAAGAATGCAGAGCCACTGCCCCATATAGATGATTTGTTGGATCGGGTGCAGGGCTGCAAATATTTCTTAATGATAGATCTTAAGTCGGGCTATTATTAGATAGAAGTCCACCGTGATGATCAGTACAAGACAACATTCAGAACTAGATATGGGCACTGTGAGTTTATAGTAATGCCCTTTGGACTAACCAATGCGCCAGCTACATTCCAGCGTTGTATGAACGATGTGTTTAGGCCGTAGCTAGATAGATTCGTAGTAGTGTACCTAGATGATATTCTAGTGTTTAGTAAGACCCTCCAGGAGCATGAGGGTCATCTGAGGCAGGTCTTGGAGAAGCTGAGAGAAGCTAACTTGAAGATCAACACAAAGAAGTGCGAGTGGGCCACATCTTAGATGGAGATGGCATAAAGCCTGAGGACAGTAAGATAGCAGCGATCAGAGATTGACCGACGCCCCACACATTGACAGAGTTGCGGTCGTTCTTAGGCCTAGCAAATTACTATAGGAAGTTCGTGGGGAACTTTTCTACAATCGCTGCACCCCTGCGCAGGTTGCTAAAGAAAGAAGCAATCTGAGAATGAGATAGAGATTGTACGTTGGCCCTGAAGAAGTTGAAGCGGGCCTTGATAGAGTATCCAGTCTTCAAGGTAGTCGATCCATCAATTGTCACCACTGACGCAAGTCAGTATGGTATAGGTGTTGTCTTACAGCAAGATGATGGCAATGGGTATAGACCCGTAGAGTTCATGTCTGCCAGGATGCCTTCAGAAAAGGTAGCGACATCTACCTATGAGAGGGAACTCTACGCTCTCAGGCAGGCATTAGATCACTGGAAGCACTACTTGCTTGAGAGGCACTTCAAAGTGTATTCAGACCATGAGACGTTGAGGTGGTTGAAGACTCAGGCCAAAATGACACCTAAGTTTACCAGGTGGGCCGCAAAGATAGACCAATTTGACTTTGAGCTCAACCCAGTCAAAGGAAAGTATAATGTAAGTTTATGCACAGGACCCTATCTATAGTGACCTCCTCAAGAGAGTTAAGGAGGCCTAAAAAACTGAACCAGATTACCGCACTACAGATGGATTATTATGTGAGATGACTAATGTAGTTGACCGTTTATGCGTTCCCAACAACAAAGAGATTCGTAGTCTGATCTTAGGGGAATGCCACAACACGGAGGGACATTTTGGTTGGCAGAAGACGTTAGTCAACCTTACGTGCGCATATATGTGGCCTGGTATGAAGGCCGACTGCATAGAGTATGTACGAAGTTGCAAGGTGTGCCAACAGAACAAGACCACTACGCGAGCCCCTCTTGCTCTTCTCAGACCATTGCCTATTCCTGCAGGACCCAGAGATTCTATGTCTATTGACTTTATGGATATCGGGGTCAGGAGTAGGCATGGCAAGAGCCAAGCCATGGTTATAGTTGATAGATTTAGCAAGTATGCAGTGTTTGTTCCTTCGCCTTCAGAGGCACGTACAAACTTAGTGATAGAGAAGTTTTTCGATCATCGGGTCAGTGAACATGGTCTGCCGCTGTCTATAGTTGGTGACAAAGATACTAGGTTCACTAGCCAGAACTGGCAGGAGTTAATGACAGTTTATGACTCTAAGTTGTTGATGTCATCTGACCGTCATCCAAAGACTAACGGTCAAACTGAACAGATGAACAAAATCCTGCAGCAAGTTCTCAGAATGTATATTAGGCCCGATCAGATCAATTGGGATGAAATGCTCCCGAAGGTAGCCAGCGCATACAACAACAGGGTACACTCAGCCACTTGTCGCACTCCCAACGAGTTGCATAAGTCCTTTAGACCACGCAGACCGTTTGAAGGACTGAACGTGGACCAGATCCAGAGGCTACTGCCCGGTACGAGGGAGTTTGTGCTATATCATGAGAAGGAGATTGCTACCGTCGTAGAGAACCTCAGGAAAGCCCAGCACAAGATGATAGAACAAGCCAACAAACACCGTCACCCATCACAGTTTCAAGTAGGCGACTTAGTCGGTCAAGTCAAAAGAGTTTGCTCCTGAGGAGAACATCTCGCAGAAGCTATTGCCTACATATAGAGGACTGTGGCCAGTCCTAGAAGTCAAGGGCGGAGAGGATGGACCGTCCTACACAATTGAGATTCCAGCACACCTCCATACATATCCAGTTTTTCACGCATCAAAGTTGTTACCTTGCACGATGAGTCAGCAGTTTCCATCGAGAAGGTCAATGATTCCTTCAGACATGGACGGAAGGTACGTCATTGATCGTATAGTTGACGAGGTTGTGTTCAGAACAGGAGGTAGGGGTCGTCCACAGAAACAATATAAAGTCAGATTCTCTTTTCAAGAACCAGAAGACGACCGCTGGTTCACACGGACAGAGCTTCTAGAGACCGCTCCCGATATAGTTCGAGCCTATGAGAGAGATAAGAAAGGGAAAGGACCTCCCTTGGACTGAAGTATTCTCGGAGGACCTCGAATTTAGGCCGGCGGGAGTGAAACGGCTTTCACCTTTGCAGTAGCAGATGCAGATCCCAGGGCTCGATCCCTAGACCTCACCTCACCTGTACAGTACCCCTGTGTGTTTGAACCCGTGACCTGCGTTTTAGGAGTCAGTTGTTGTCTGTCGTAGGTCGATGTAGGTGTCGGGTCTTGAACCGAAGGTCTGTCGAGTAGGGGTCATAGTTGTGTAGAGGCCATAGCTGTAGCAAGCATTGGAGGAGAGAGACAACGCAGTGGAGAGGACAGATGGGACAAGGCTAGGCGAGGGCAAGGGCAGATCAGACATCAGGAATCGGGGTCGAGGGGAGGGTGGACAGGGTTCAAGGGTGTGTGTAGAACGGGGTTGCGAGGTTGTAGCAAGGTTTATACAGGGGTTTAGGGTTGTAGTTACGTGGGTGTCTAGGACATAGGAGTAGCACGATCTTAGGCGCGGACAAGTTTCATGTCATTCTTGAGATTCGAGAGAGGTTCCCATGTAGATTCTTCGTCGGGGTATCCGGTCCATTTGACTTTGTATTCAGTGATTGGTTCCAGGTGGTCAGATACCTGAGTAGTTCGTCGACCTATGATAGCGACGAATTCAGGGTCTGTGGGTAACATGATAGGTGGAGGTCTAGGATATGGGCGTCAGCTAATTGGGGTGGGGATTCATGATATTCTTTCAAGTATTCGACGTGGAAGACCGGGTGGATGCGGCTCATGCCGGGGGGGAGTTGGAGTTTGTAGTTGACGTCGGAGGTTTTTTCAATGATGGGGAAGGGTCCGAGCCATTTGTTCGAGAGTTTCTTTGACAATCCATGTTCAGGTTCAACGTGTGGGGCGGAGAGTCAGACTTTGTCCCCTACTTTGAATTGCAAGTCTCGTCTGTGTTTGTTGATCTTGTTTGCCTGTTGTTCTTGTGTTCTTTCGAGGGCTTTGGTTGCTTCTCCGAGGAGTCAATTCATTGTTGCTACCCATTCATTGAGGGAAGGGCAGGGTGTGGGGGGGTTGAGTAGTGAGGGAAGCAGGAAATCAGAGGGCAAGTGTGGATGATAGCCAAGGTCAAGGTAGAATGAAGACATGCCAGTGGAAGGACATACAGCGTTGTTGTAGGCGATCTCGGCGGCGGTGAGCAACTAATCCCAGTTGTGTTGATGTGGATGACAGTACTTCTGTAGGATTCTTTGGAGAGTATCGTTCATCTGCTCAGTTTGTCCATCGGTCTGTGGGTGGAATGCAGTGCTATACTTGAGTGTAGTTCCGTAGGCGTTGAAGAGTTGTTTATAGAATTGTGAGAGGAAACGGGGATCGCGGTCGCTGATGATATTCTCGGGGAGGCCGTGGTGGCGTGCAACATGGTCGAAGAAGCGTAAGGCCATGTCTTTGGCGGTGTGCGAGGTGGTGCAAGGAATGAAGTGGGCGCGTTTGGTCAGGCGACAGACAATGACGTAGATGCAATCATGCCCGCGGTTGATCTTAGGGAGACCGCACACGAAGTCCATGGAAATGGACTGCCACCAGTGAGTGGGGATGGGCAAAGATTGGAGTTTGCCGAGTTTGGTCCGGTTCGAGGGATTGACAGCCTGACACGTGGGACATGAGCGAATGTATGTTTTGACGTCGGCGAGTAGAGAAGGCCAATAGAAGTAGCGGGAGATGGTGTCGAAGGTTTTCTGGAAAAACTGAGGTGACCTGCGGTCTTGGCGTCGTGGTGCTCAGCCAAGAGCTGGGCACAGAGACCACGTGTGTCAGGGATGCACAGTCGGCAAGTGCCTTTGGTGTCGATGTAGAGGAGGTTGTCGTGGAGGGAGTAGTCGGGGACTGGGTCAAGATCGTGGAGCTTGTTGTAAATGGCGGCGAAGTCTGGGCAAGAGAGGTAGCCTTGGGTGTATCAGTGATGGAGTGATGGGAGGAGCTGGATATGGGTCATGGCGGCGTAGACTTTCTCGGGGGGCTTGTGGTCGGGTCGTCGAGAGAGGGCATGGACAACGCGGTTGCTTTTGCCGAGGGTATGGCAAATAGTGAATGTGAACTGGGCAAGGAAGTCAAGCCATCGAACTTCGTGTGGGGTGAGGTCTTTCTTGGTGAGGATGGAAGAAACGAGGGTGTTGTCAGTGCGGAATGGTGAAGTATTGCCCGTCGAGGTACGGGTACCAGACTGTGAGGGCGTGAATCACAGCGAGGAGTTCCTTCTCGTTGGAGGGGTAATTCATCTCCACGGGAAGGAGCTTCTTGCTTGTGAAGAGGTATTCGTCGGGTGGAGCCTCGGGGTGAGTGGGCGAGTCCTTGATGGAGGGGGTCTCGGCGGTGTCGCGGGGGAAATGTTGGGACAGTACGGCTCCAATGGCTAAGTCAGAGGCATCAGTGGTGACATAGAAATGGCGAGTGGGGTCGACGATCTTGAGGACAGGGGTTGTGGTGATGGTTTGCTTGAGGAAGTCGAAAGCGTGTTGACGGCAATCGTTCCAATTGAAGGGCTCGTTCTTGCGTGTGAGTTCGTGGAGAGGGTAAGAGATCTCGGAAAAGTTGCGAATGAACGGGCGGTAATAGTTGGCAAGGCCTAGGAAGGAACGGAGTTGGAGGAGGATCTTGGGCGGGGGGTACTCGACGAGGGTTCTGACCTTCGAGGGGTCCATACGGATGCCTTCGACGGAGACAATGTGGCCAAGGTATTCGACGCTCGAAGCGGCAAACGTACATTTGTTGAGCTTGGCGTAGAATTTTTGCTCTCGAAGGATCGAGAGGACTTGGCGAATGTGCTGAAGGTGGGACTCGAAGGTGGGGCTAAAGATGAGGATGTCATTAAGGTACACGACGACACAGACTTCGAGGAGGTCACGTAAGATGTGGTTCATGGTAGACTGGAATGTGGCGGGGGCATTGGTGAGTCCAAAAGGCATTACGAGGAACTCGTAGTGCCCGAACCGAGAGCGGAATGTGGTCTTATGGGTGTCCTCCTCGCGGATACGGATCTGGTGGAAGCCACTGCGGAGGTCGATCTTGGTGAAATATTTGGCTCCACGGAGGCGATCAAGAAGTTCAGATATCCGGGGTAGTGGGTACTTGTTATTGATCGTGATCCGGTTCAAGGCACGGTAGTCTGTGCACATGCGGAGTTCCAAGGTGCCGTTCTTCTTGACGAAGAGACAACTGGTTCCGAAGGGGGAGGAGCTAGGCTTAATGAACCCTTTTTCAAGGAGTTCATTGAGTTGGCGCTTCATTTCTTCCGCCTCGACGACGGAGAGTTGGTACGGAGGGCGGCAAGGAGGAGAATGGTTGGGCTCGAGATCAATGGTGTGGGATACACCTCGATCGGGAGGTAAATCGACGGGCAAGGACTCGGGGAAGACGTCCTTGAATTCAGAGAGGAGAGCGGTGATGTGAGGGTCGGAAGGGGGGTCTTGGTCGGGTTTGTCCGTTGGAAGCAAGTCCTCGGGACGCCCGTGGTCGATAACAAGACAATAGTAAGCGGAGTCGGGGTGTTCACGAGATATGTGAAGGAACTGGTGAGGGGAGATAGGGGGTGGGGTGGAAGTGGGGAGAAGGTAAGGGATATCAAGAGGAGAGTGAGGAGGGCGGGTGAGTTGGACGAAGGAGGGGTGGAAGGAGTAGGGCATGAAACGGTCAAGCCATGGATTTGTTGTTTGATTAAGTTCAGTTGGGAGGGCAAATCGGATGTGAGAGGGGTCACCAACACGGGATGGGGCAACGTAAAGTTGGCCATGGGCAAAGGCCGGTTGGCGAAGGTCGATGGCCGCGTGTTTGATGGACTGTCCTTGGGATTTGTTTATTGTAATTGCAAAGGCTGGACGGAGAGGAAATTGTTGTCTTTGCCATGGAAAAGGACTTGTTTGATCTGTGATTGAAAGCAGGATTCGCGGGAGGAGAGCGGGTTTGTGGAAGTAGTGGACCGATGTGTTGTTGAAGCCGGCCTTCTATTCTCAGCATACCTGGCGAGCGTCCAGCGGGCATCTGGGTTTCTTTAACGGATTGGGATGCAAGGGCAAGTGCAATATTGAATTGGCGTGCCCGCGATCGTAACAATCTACCAAGTATGCTAGTTGTTTCCCATAGATGTAAAACTCGGGCAGCAGGTGTCATCGTGTCAGGATACGTCCAGAGTGGCGGTTGTACTTTTCCATGCAGGCAATAGAGTGATGTCCACGGGTGTTCGTGAGGCCACTTTTCTGCTTCGCAGTGTGTGCAAGGCGTTCTATTTCCGAGATTAATTATATTGACTGAAAGTTGCTGCACGAATAAGGCAGATGTGTGAACGCGACGCGTGCATTGTTGATTCGTGGCTTAATTCTCAATGTGTCTTTGTCTGAAACGTCTTTGTCGTTCTCTTGCTGTGGATCGTGTTCTTTCGACGGCAGCCCGAGAACTTTTGGTTAACGTTGGGAGGAGAAAGCACATAGAAGAAAGGACAGAATATACGAAATTATTGCGTAGAGAGTATGGAGGAATAGGGAGGAGAAAGCACATAATATTGTTGTGTAGAGAGCAGGAAGGAACAGGGAGGAGGAAGCATGGAACATACAAAACATGAAGAGAAAAATGAAAATGAATTGTTAGTTCAAGCACATTCTTCGTGTACTTTTCTTTCTTGGGGTAAAAGGGGCAAATACAAAGTACAAAGTAATTGCAATTCTCTTCAAGAAATCAAATAAATTAAAATGCAATTCAACGAAAAAAGAGATATACAACATGAATAGACAGTTCTGAGCACGCAAATTGAAAAAAAAAAAAAAAAAAAAACTTTTTTTATTTGGGTAAAAAGGGTAAATACAGAGTAGAAACTAATTGTAATTCTCTGCAAGAAATAAAATAAATTAAAATGCAATGTAACGAAAAAAGGGATATACAACATGAATCGACAGTTGTGAGCACCGAAATTGCAAAAAAAAAAAAATAATAACTGACCAAAAAAACAGAAAAGAAAATTTGTCCCTCCCCCCCCCAAAAAAAAAAAGAAAGATCATTATCATAAA